ACAAAATCATCCGCATATTGAGAGATATAAACATTCTTGACGCTTTTACATACATTAAGAGTAGCTATATTAAACAAAAAGAGGAGATAATGGATCTTCTTGGGCTAGCCCTTGCCCCGTAAATCTACTGATAAACACGTTATCCACATACATTTTGAGATGTCATTCATTAAGGAAACTACTAAGATATTGACAAATTTTTTTCCCTATATTTAGTAGATCTAAAGTGTACAGTAATGCATTTATGTCAACATTATTATACGCATTGTCTAAATCTAAGAAACATCCTATCGTGGACTGATTCTCTGAAAACCCTATTTGTATCCTTGATACCAAACTACTACGACTATCTAAGCAGGATCGGCTTCTCCTAAAACCGAACGTATAAGAAGAAAAGACTTTGTTTTTTTTCCAGAAACCATTCTAGTCTCCCTTTAATAATTGAATGAAAGATTTTGCATAAGCAAGACATAAGTGATATTGGGCGCAAGGACGATACATCATTAATGTCTCTTCCAGGCTTTGGGATTGCTATAATACCAATATCTCGCCATTGTGATGGTACGAAACTGTTGTTAAGAAAAGCATTATAGAGTTTGATTAAAATGCATTTTTTAATCGCCCTTAAACGGAAGGTGTTTTAACATACAATATGCTATGCCATCGCATCCAGGAGATGTATCCTTTAATTTAATACATGTGTCAAGCTCCTGAATCGAGACCTCTTCCTCTAGTAACATGTTACTAGAACTGAAAGTAGCCTGTTCCGGTGAAACAAAATCTGGCGTTAGACTGCGAAGAAGTATTTCTGCTTTTTCTTTGTCTATATGGTGGGGTATTAGGTGACCTAAAACCTTTCATCCATCTCATCTTGTTCCACATATCCCTAGTGGTTGTTTTTTCATTTACCGAATCACAAAACCTCTGCCAATTACGTAGTTTAGCCTGACTAATTAACCTCTGTGTGTCTCTAATATTTTCTTGGAATATAGATAAGTTCTGAGGTGTTGAGTTACGTCTAAACCTAGCCAGTGCTTGTCTACGAATAGCTACAGACTTCGATAATTCTACGTCCAAGTAAGACTTCGGTACAAATTTAGACTCTGGGTTTTGATTTATTTTTATGAAAGGGATATGAATGTCAGCTGCTAAATTTAAATATTTCAAAAATGTATTGTAACATTTTTGAAGGTCGGTTGTGTGTTTTGGGAACTGATCAAAAAGTATTTCAAGAGTACTCTTATAACCGTCCCAGTTTACTTTTTTAAAATTCCTTTTAAGATTACACTCTAACCGCTTTTGACATAAAGCTGATATTTTAATCATAAGATGATCACTACCTAAAGTTTCTCGAAGTACCCTCCAATTAAATTTATGGACGATATCCGACGTCATAAGTGATAGATCGGGAGATGACGCTTGTAAGACTCTATTTACGAATCTAATTCGAGTGCTTTCTCCATTATTTAATATAGCGAAGTTCGTATCTAAAAGCGCATCAAATATTTGTGAACCCCTGTTATCAGTCTTGTACGACCAGCTTGAGTGGTGAACGTTGAAGTCCCCAATGATTACGGTTTTACAACTAAATGTAGAAAATAATTCATCCCAATTTCTTTGGCAAGTGCGCTCTGATGATGGACAATAGATAGAAATGATATTCTCTAAATCCTGACAGTTAAAAATTTTTACGTAAATAGCTTCTATGCCATCATTACTTAGTTGTAAATGCCCCTTAACCGTTTTAAGAGATTTGTGCGCTAAAACAGCAACACCCCCATAAGAGTCAGCTCTATCATTACGGTAAATATTATAATCTTTGATTTTAATATAAGTTTCAGAGTTTAACCAAGTTTCGCTTAAGGCTACAATATCTATTTTTTCCATAGTTAATAAAGGCTCTAAGGACATTAGTTTAGGCTTAACACTTTGAGCATTCCACTGTAAGATATTAAGATTTACTATTTTACAGTTAAGGTGTTCATCCATTAAATAAGTTTAAATCGGTTTTCAACATTGGCCATTCCGAGATATTGTCCACAGTTACCAAAATTAACCACTCAACACATAACTTTATCACTTTGTAAACTTTCTCTTGCAAACTAAAATTATTAAAAAAAAATTACTTCCTTTAACCTCATAAGTAGCTCACTGAAAGATATTTTATTAGAAGATTCGTTGTTATTTGCCTCACTATAGCTAGTACTAGGTTCAAATCCATTACTTTGTAATGACGTGTCACGCTCTGTACTTTTTTCTCCTTTTTTATCTGGCGCCGGCGGGGCGACGATGTCTTACTTTCACATTCGCTAATATTGTCTACGTTATGCAATGTGCTATTGGTCGTCACTTCTGCAAAAGTAGGAACATTTTGGACTTTAGCCGCTTCCCTCTCCGGTGTGTTATAATTACACTCCTGCTGGATGCTATCTTGTTCTATAAATTTTAGGTCCATTTGTCTACGTGGTATTGGCGCAACATAGATTGTTAAGGCCCTTCTGTATGTGCAATTAAACTCGGCCATAAGTTTCTCGCAACCTTCTTTCTTTGAGGTAGGCAGGACGAGTCCTAGCTAAAGCTATGTGACTTCCAGAACAATTGACACATTTGAATGTTTTAGTGTCATAATTCTCATGTTCTCCCCGACATTTCGGGCATATTGTTTTCTTAAATGGACATAACTTTCGAATGTGACCTAACTTCCAACATTGTGAGCATTGTGAAACGGGATAAACATATGGCTGAACAGTTATTTTCATATTCGAAAATATATACGTATGAAGGTAGAGAGGACCCTTTAAAACAAAGCCGTATGGTTTCACTTGGACACCACCCTTCTTGTTTCGTGTAACTTCGTCGCTTAAGCCTTTTAACGGATATTAATTCTGTAGAATCTGGGCATGATAGATTTTTCATAATTTCTTCTTCAGACATTTCTAACTCCACGTCTCTTATAATTCCGTAAGAGTAGTTTACCTCCATTGCCTTCTGAATTCTCCATCCCATAGAAATGAATGTCGCACAGGTACTTAATTTTTGAACGTTTTCCTCATTCGAAAATTGCAACCTTACTTTAAATGGGTTTAAGTATTTCACTCTAATTATATCAGTAATTCCATTTTCTTTGAATAACCGTGCCAAAGCAAATTGCTTGGGCAGCTTTTCATTGCATGCAATGTATACCTCGATATCTGTTTCTGTACTTAACTTCTTATCCTCGTGCAGTCGTTTTTTCTTCCCCTTTCCCTTCACAATCTTCCACTCATCATCACTCTCCTCCGTTTCTCTGATTCTTTTAATAATCCTAGGCGTATTTTTACCAATACTATCCCGCTCTTCTACTTCTAATTCTGCAATATCGTCTTCGCTATACATAATATTAATGTTAAATTCTTCATTCTCGTCCGTCATTTTGCGTATACCCGCAAGTAAAGCTGAGTAAGCTTGCGCGTAAGCAGGCCGCGCGGCCCTACCTACCCGCGTGAGTAAGCAATAACAAGCAACGTACGTCAACAAGCGATCGTGTGAACACGTGCTACTCGCTTAACGCCAGACGCGAGACTGTAAATACCCCTTGAAGAGCTTCTTTAGTTCAAAGTAGGGTACTTACAAAACTTTCTTCACTAATCCCCTACGTGCAGCTATCGTTAAGACCTAGCAAATTAGAAACACAAACTACTACATCCAATACAAATAACAAAACATTACCAGAAAAAGTGAGAAACTCTGATGATAATGATTCTATGGCATTAATTTCTTGAGATATTGAAAGTCAGCCTTCCATCATGTCACCAATTATCTTATATTCAACTGTCTTCACCAAATACGATGAATAAACCCATAAAAGTATTTAAAAAAAGAAGTGATAGAAACAGTAAACTCCATTAGTCATAGTCAATAAGAAGAGGTTGATACTATAAGTTATGTTAACAACATTGGATAATAACAAGGATTCTATCTGCTAGACTTCAAACAAAGAATAATTGGTCCTTGCAAAAAATATAGATTTTCAAAAGCTGAGAGAAGACCAATGCTGATGTCATATATAATTTTAAGTAGTTACCCTAAGAAGAACAGAAAGAGAATCAGAAAGAGTATGAAGAACATTGTTTTAAACGTTACCCCCACACTAGGATTGCTCCTGTATCGTGGGGGCAGTTTAAAAACATAAATTGCACAAGGACAAACATCCAGACCCGGTACAATTATTTGTAGTTCAATCTCTCAATTTTTTCTCAAAAGATGCCGCAAAAATGGCTACTTTACCTATACCGTATATCTCGATAAAATGAAGCCTTTATAACTGAAATTGGTAAAAATACCCTTTCGCTTTACACTCTCTGTTTAGACATATTGGTACTTTAAATAAAAAAATATATACGAGCAATACAGGCTGATAGGTAAAGATGGCATGGACTCCATTGAAATTCTCATACAAATGTAATTTATTATCAGGGCTGCCACTTGTTTAAAAATGAAGTTAAAATGTACGGCTATAAAAACATTGATTAAATGCAAGTCAGATAGTCCCATGGAGTGTTCTGTAAATACCATGCGATAAACTTGTAAAAATTGTAAAGTATATAATGTATTTAAAGTACTGGTTGTCACATATTTATCATACTTATACTATCATAGTTTATTGTAAATAAAACTAAAAGTATTACTCTAATTTATATTTAAATTTGACATCAAAATATAAAATTCCACGCCAATTTTTATAGGGGTTGGGTAAAATTTGCACTAAGTATATCATTTTCGAATACTTGTATCGGGTACTGTGGACCAGTAAAACCCACCTTTTTCATGTCTCATGAATTTCGCGAAAACACCTTCACACTCGGATATTTTCGTAATCAGGCCGCAGTAATACTTATACGTATTTTTGGTACTTTTAAACTTTACCAAGATCTATTGTCCTTCCATATATAAACTTTCGGCTTTATTTGTCTTCTCATTTTGTTCATTTTTAGTCTCTTTTAGTCTAGGTCGTTTTATCTTCAGTCCTTTTTTTTTTCATCGTTTTCTATTATTAGGCTTTCTATCTGTTGTTTTCTTTCCTGCTTCTCTATTCTGTGTTCTTTTGTTTCCAGTTTTTTTTTCACTGTGTCCTGGTCTTCCCATAAGCCTCTCTCCATTTCATATTCATTTACCATCTGTTTTTCCACATTCTGTCCGTTCCTTTCATTACTTTCTATCCTTAAGTTTTCTTCCTCGTGTCCTTTTGTTTCCAATTCCTTCATTTGTTGTAAAATTTCGACCAGAATCTGCTGCGACAAATGTCCCGTGAGTATCAACAAACATATATAACTTGTCATTTGACAGTGCTGCCAGTATTAAAAAAAATTGTAAGACCATTGGCTCATTACGAAACAACTAATATGTCTATGAAATATCTACCATTAGTAGTTTCTGATAAAAATGATTTTTCTTATTACTTGTTAGTGGTAGGTAAAGATGACAAGGGAAGGTAAAGATGCCTTAGTTGACTTTGTGACATCGAGTAAAATAGTCGATGTGCCACGTTCTTTTCGAAACCTAGACTGTAAATGAGGTAAGATGTTGGTCGCTTCAACAGATTTTGTCAACTGTTCGCAAACAGCTTTCTCCAACAGTTACGCAAGAAATGACAAAATGCTGATGGGCCTAAGATCTTTTAATTCGACCGGGTTTTTATTTTTGGGTATTGAGTTCACTAGTGCCTCCTTCCACTTATCAGTAACTATACCCGTCATAATTAACTTATTAATTATAACCGTGATTGTATTCAGAGTGCAAGGAAGAGAGAGTAATATCATATTTCTGCAAATTCCATCGTGTCCAACAGCATTCGATTTCATGGAAATTGTATATTAAGATATAATTTATATACCACTATATGGAATTTATTATGTTCAAAAATATTATACTACATTGTCTCCCGGAATATTCAAGAAATGATCATTAATTTTGTTAGGGTCATTGAAATGGGGAGGCAAGGATTTGTCTCTCGAGGAGTTTACCAAAATATTTTTCTTCAAATTTTTCCAAAATGTTTTTCTATTTTTAGCTTGAAAATTAACTAAAATGTTGAAGCTTTTATCCTGAAATACTTGCTAAAAGTAGACTTTTGACCTCCTTGTAATATTTTGTATGTTCGTCTGATCCAGACTTTCTGTAGACATCGTGAGCAATATTACGCTCATCGTATATCATTTTACAGACACCGGTTACCCACGGCAGTGAATAATTTGTTTTTAAAGTTATTGTTTTCACTGATGCATGCTTATCAAAGAGAGAGAGAGAGAGAGAGAGAGAGAGAGAGCATTATTGAATTAATTTTTTCCACCATCATATCCACGGAAGGTAACTTAATTACATCGTCCCAATTGATTGCAACAGACACCGGTTATTCATTGCAGTGAATAATTTGTTTTTACAGTAATTGTTTTCACTGATGCATGCTTATCAAAGAGAGTAAAAGCACATAAACACAATTGTTGGTGTTATTTAACTTTTTATTATTTTGGCACTACCACTTGGAATTCTGAACTGATACATACACAAATCGATAGATAATTTTGTAAGGATCACACAAATATATAGTTTACTGCATAAATACTGTTTTTACTGTATGATATGTGTTATGTATTTATATACATTTGTATAACTACGTATTATAATGCATGGCTGTGCCCACGCGCTCTCTGTTAATAAACCAATGCATAGCAAGCTACCGGCCGTTTAACTCACTCCCTGACTATATACATAACATTGGCAAGGAGTGCCCACGTAAAAAGTAATTACAAATGGCTAATTCACATTTTGGAATATTATCCAGTTTTAACCACGATATACAAGAGTGTAAAACTAAAAAAAGCCGAATAAATCAGTGATTCTCGGCAAATTAAATTAATAATACGAGGGATCCGAGCGAAAAAAAGAGAAGATCAATTTTGCTAAGTGCACTCTCGGAGTTTAGCTTTACCCAAGTATGTGCAGGAGATGCCCTACGAAGACATCCTACGAATCCTCCACATCCATTTTAACCCGAAGATTGTCTGTTTCACGGAACGACACAACTTCTATGCAGCATTGCAGTAACCCGGTGAAACACATTCTTTCGCAGTCCTTCGCAGTTCGCGCAGTCTCGCGGCACACATAGTGGGCCGCGAGACTGCGCGGTCTTACGTCACGCAGCGCTTTCTTTGATATCGAAGAGGCCCTAAGAGACTGGTTCATTATGGGACGCCGATGGAGAGCCAACGCGTCCGCAGATTCTACTGGCGCGTTGTATAACATTACACCAAGAGATAAAGGTGCAACAAGTGTAAAAAGTGATCTTTCGGTAAAACAAAAGTGTAAAATGTGTGGTTATACGAACCACAAGGCTTCAGCGTGCCGGTACGCTGATTTTGTATGTAGGAAGTGTAACGTCGTAGGCCATCTACGTAGAATGTGTATGTCAAATAAAGTTAAATACGTAGATAATGGAGTCGGAGACGAAGACATCGGTGATGATGGTAAGGTATTTAAATTCATCCGTTGCAGGGTAAACCGATGGTCGAACCCGTGTTTATTCGTGGAACGGCGTTTAAGTTTGAAATAGATAGCGGTTCCGCCGTAACTGTGATACCGGAAAAATTATATAAATCTCATTTTAAAGAAATTCCATTGATCGTTCCGCATAAAATGTTGATAACATGTGTAGACACAATTCGGTTTCCCGTGTACTATACTAACCGCTCACACACGCTCGACGTGTACGTCGTCTAGGACGGCGTGCCGGCGCTCCTCGGTAGGGACTTTATATCTACAGATTTTTTTGAAATTACATTTAGATACAAATTACATGCTGATGAAACATGAATAATATTTTTTGATGTTATTGTCATAACAGAAAAAACTGAACTGGTTATTTGAATAAAAAATCATGAGTGCAATTAGTTTGATTAAAATTTTCGTATTTTTAAAAACACTAAAAAAAGGGCTCGAAATAATAGATTTTCTAACAAAATAAGGGAACTTGAAAAAAAAAGGAAAAAAGTCGGACCGAAGACAGGACGCGAACCAAGGCATTCCGATTTCGCGACCGCTCGGTATCCACTTGAGCTATTACGATCATTAACACAGTGTCAAAATTTACCTTATATATACACATATATATATATATATATATATATATATATATATATATATATATAAGAATTGCTCATTTAAAGGTATAAATCTACATTCCAATTAGAGTTATCATCAGTTTTATCAAAGGTGAATTACTGTCAGGGTACCCTTTCCTCCATGGAGGAACTGCAATGTCAATTTCCAGTTTTTTTTTCAGGTAAATTAGGTCGTTTTACTAAACATAAGGTGCACTTACAGTTAAAAGATAATGCAAAACTAGTTTTCATTAAAGCAAGACCGATAGCATTTGCTCTACGGAATAAGATAAACAGTGAACTAGATAGAATGGTTGAGTTAGGGGTATTAAAACTGGTTGACCACGCAGACTACGCGTCCCCTATAGTCCCTGTTTTAAAAAGAAATGGCACTATTCGCTTGTGTGCCGACTACTCACTTAGTATTAATATGCAATTAATTATCGACCTGTATCCTCTGTTTGCAAAGCTTTATGGTAGAAAAAAATTCACCAAATTAGACTTATCTATGGCTTATAACCAATTTGAGCTGGATGACGAGTCCAAAGGTACACTGTAATTTATACTCATCGTGGTTTATATAAGTATATTAGGCTAATGTTTGGGCTTGCTGCAGCGCCAGAAATTTTTCAGCGTGCGAGGGAGGTCCTAGTAGGTGGACAGGATGCAGGCATGCTGTGTTTGTTGGATGACGTGCTCATTACGGGGCATGACGACGCCGAGAACGCTGCATGCCTTCGGGTGGTGTTGGAGACATTACAAAAAGCAGGATTGACATTGCAAAGGGAGAAGTGCGAGTTCTATAAGGATGAAGTTAGCTACTTGGGTTATGTTATCAATAAAAATGGGTTGAAAAAGTATCCAGATAAAATTAAAGCAATAGTAAACTCCCCTGCACCATCAAATATAAGCCAACTGCAATCGTTTTTGGACCCAGTAAATTATTATAAAAGCTTTGTACCAAGCGCAGCGTCTGTTTTAATCCCACTTAATAATCTGCTAAAAAAGGGGTTAATATGGTCGTGGGGTCTAGGTCATCAAATTGTATTCACTAGAATAAAACTGATATTAGCTTCGGACCATGTACTCACCCACTTCAACCCAGAAGCAAGGCTAATCCTGACCGTAGATGCGTCTCCGGTTGGCTCGGGTTGCGATACTGTCGCAAGTAGGTTTCGACGGGCAAGAAAGGTCGATTTAGTTTGCATCGCGAACTCTAAATACCGCAGAGAAACGATATTCACAAATATAAAACCGCGACCGCGATTATATTTGGATTTCGGCGCTTCCATCAGTATTTGTACGGTAGAACAAGCTCATTCATATTAAGAACAGATCATAAATCACTATTTTCGTTATCCAGACTCTACAAAGACATTCTATGTTTCTAAGCACGTATAACTATACGATCGTGTATATACGAAGCGCTGATTATAGCGCCGACTTTGTCTCATTCAAGTATTTCGGAGGCGAGGCGAACGCCCGACACGGGTGCAGGTGCACTCGATAAATGCACTGCGGGCTGATGAAATTTAAAAAAATCCCAATTTAAATAGATAAGGAGGCTGGGTGCTACCAACCGCTTGGGATCCTGTAATAAATAAAATTAAAACTAAGTCCAAGCATACCACTGCAAGATTTGAAGACACAGTAAGCTTATTCTGCGTAGATCGAACCAAATGTAATAATTAAAAGGGTGAAGATACTCCGGGCTAACTCTGACATCGGAATGTCAATCAACTCAGTCCCTCGAGACCATGGATGCTGGAAAGCACTCAAAACGTCGGGTATTATAATTAAACAAATAAAACGCCGTAAGATCCGTTAAGTAGTTCTCTTCAAAATTTGTTAACTTTTATTTATAAATTATAATAAGAGATATTATAATAAGAGATCAAGACCTGTGAAATCGTATTGCATTGTCATAATGTTTATACCTACCTATTTTAATGAAACCTTTTTTTAGGTAAATCAGTAATTATCACTAAATGTCATTTTTTAAACATAAGCCAATTAGAAACTATCGGTCCGTGGGGTCTGTATCACTGGTCAGCGTTGCTGATGAGAGGGCTGGTTATTTTCTTGCTCAAAGTCTAAGTATAGCCATTCAGCGAAAGTGCAGTCAGCGTTCTAGACACGATATCACAGGGAGTAGGATAGGTAGATAATTTAAGTTTTTATTT